CAGTAGAGAGCATGTCGATGATGCAAGGAATGGGCTACCTCGAACACAACCCATAGTATTGGTACCGTTGGTGTCGTTGATGGATTGTGTGGGGCAAGCAAGTTGTTACGCAGGCCGGAAGTGCATTTGGACAGGCAAGGCGTGAGGAGTTCAGGCAAGATACCCTGCGATATCTTTGGACGGGAGTGGTTGCTTTTTAGTCGGACGCACCGGACCTGAGTCGGTAAACCGAGTTAAGCGGGTCGGTGAGATTGTCTTCGGGGGCTTGGAGCCTTCCTTAGCCGAGGAGTTTGGAATACGAGTATTGTGATTGTATATCTAACCGATAATTGTTAGTACTTACCAGTGGGTACAGCGCAAAGTACATATTCGTCATTCAGTGATGGCAAGGCGTCGGGATTGCCGTGCTTTTGACGTGACATGCGGCCAGTGACTTTTCGTAATCTCTCAGCCTGTGTCACGGCCAGCCCCAAACCGGGTGGGCAAGTCACCCCAGACGTGCATTCTGACGGAAATAACGGAGAGGTTCGAAAGGGGCAAGGGAGTGCTCCTGATCAGCGACAAAGAGCCCGAAAAACTCAGCAGTCGTTAGGGAACACCGGTCTGCGGTCTGGACGCCAAACGGTGTGTTGTGTGGTTGCGTTAGGCGTCGTGAACTGAGTGGCTGACGTAGGGATGCTTCCCCTGTCTTCGCGTCGGGCGGCGTCAGGGTGACCCTAGCAGTGTGGACCCAAAGATTCGCGATTTAGCGCGAACCGATGATTGGCATTAACAGAAAACCAGGCCTGTCCATACAAATCCGCGTGTTGAAACACGTCTGTTGTTAGGGCCCCGGAACACGATCTCATCTGTGCGACACGTCTTCCCTGCAAGTGCGGCGAACACTCTCCGCCAAGCAGACACCGGCCCGTGCAATTTGGCGTTGGCGAGCATTGGCCGACGGTGGGCAGCTGGCGTTCAATAATTCTCCAGTTCTCCAGATCGCCATTTTATTAATTCATCCCAGGCCCAGCTCCGGGCGCGTGTGGGCATTGAGACCTGAACCCGCCATCCTCCCAGTCATCAGATTGTGTCGTTTGCTGCCCTGCGGCACCGTCGCTCGCTCTCTTGTCCATCTCTCTTTTTACCCGCCGTTTCATCTTGGGTCGCTCATTTCGTCTGCACCACCATCTGCGTCTTTGACTCTGTCTTGTCACCAAACTTTGGCCTCTACAAGCCACCGGCGCCGCCCACGGCCTCCCTCGTCGTCATCCAGCTGCCATTACCCGCGGACCGAGACATTTGGGTGCCTCCATTCGCCCACATCTCCATCCGTGCGCCTCCGAGTTCTTTGTCTTCACCGATCTTAGGGAAGGCGCAGCCCAGAAGTGGGGAGGAGCAAGCAGCAACGACCGGAACCCGGTGGACAGCCGGCGAATCAGGGGCTCTCCGACCACCGCCAACACACAAACGCCTTCGTCATTGCCATGGCCTTTTTGAATTCCTGCTCTGATACCGTGTCGGGCTCGTAGGAAGGGCACTATGTCGCGCACCGTCGTTCCCATCGACTGTTGACCGCCGCCGTTGCAGCAGAACCCACATCCACATCCATCATGACCGAACCACCGACCCCCCTCTCGCACGAGCTACGCGTGCCGCGCGGCCGCCAGCTCCGGCACTCTGACTCCCCGACCCGCCAGCGCGGCACCGATGACCTGCTGTCGAACCTCACCCCCAGGGCCGCCGTCGAAGCCTTCCGGAACCCGACTGGCACGCTCAAGGCATGCATGGACTCGGCAACACCTGCTGAGCAGGCGTTTGCCCTCCGGGCCGCCGTTGCGTCCAAGAACATCCAAGAGTGGCTTGACGAGCTTGTCGCTTGGCCATGGCAAACAGGCGGCATGGGCGGCTTCGAGATGCCCGCTGCCAAGCGGAGGCGGCTATCGCGAAGCGACACCGAACTTTCGGACCCCGATTCCCCCTCCGAAGCCGGACTCCCCGACAAGTTGTTCTGCGGAGGTCTGTTGGCGGCCGATGTTGCGCGATACGAACGAAGAATAAATGAAATAACACAGAATATGGAGGAGCTTGACGTCGAGGAGATCAAGACCCAGGTGTTGCACAACCACATCATGCCGTTGTCCCGACCGGGGACCCCCATCCTCGACAGCGGCCGCTCAATGGCGTCTCTCACCGCTTTCGCCATGATGGATGACTTGACCGCCCTCATCACGGCCACGCTCATGCAGGCATTACCAAACCTGTCGAGGCTGACGAGGCTGATGAATATCTGGAGCGTTCGTTTGCTCGTACTCCGCCGAGTTCCCGTCTTCTTGACGTCGTTGGCGGACGCCGAGATTGCCCTCCAGTCAGGCTGGAACGCAATTAACTCCAGCTCGAAACCAACGGCCGATGCTTCCCCCGCGAGTCCCACGCCGGGCTTGTCGACGCTGTCCCGGAAGGAGTTCGAAGTCATGAAATCGATCCTGGAGCGCAAGGTTGCCAAAGCGGGAAGGGATCTTGACGCGATGCTCGACATGCTTGAGGGTTGGGAAGACACGCTGCCCGAACACTGGCTCGACCGAGTAGACGCGCTGGAGAGACAATACGGCGAATGGAATGCGACATCGGAGAAGAAGGTCAGAGAGGCCGAGTGGGCAAAATCAATGCGTGTCATTGCCCCTCCGGTTGTTGAGTCGAAGCCGGAAAGTGTGCCGGAGAAGGCGAGCAAAGCATCCAGCACCAATGGCGCATCCCTGGCCAAGAGGGAAGACGAAGCTGTCTCGCCCACGGACAGTGTTTCGGTGGGGTCGGAACCCAGCTTAGGCAACGGGGACTTTTCGCAGGCTGTTAGCGAGCCCTCTGAGACAGCCACCTCGTTCAACGCATCCCTTAGACCGAGAGACGAGTCGCCAACCCCGGTCATCAAGGTTCTTCCTCCAGACGAGCCTGTCGTCGACACGAGTGAGTATATACTCGATGAAGACGTGGACAGCGACAAGGTCACAAGCAACGAGGATGCGGTTCTCGACACATTTGACGGGCCTCCCGGCGGCAGGGAACCGAGCAACAGCAAGCTCCCCGATCTATTTGGTGACGAGGACTGGCCAAAGGCACCCAGTGGTGACGAATTACGTCCAAGGAGGAGCGCGCGCGATCTGGACTTTGAGGACTCGTCGGACGATGATGTACCCGAGCCCGAACTTCCTACGCTTCCTCGTTCGCGACGGGATAGCGACATCTCCAACCCGTCAACCGTCATCCGAGGTTTGCGGAGCGACATGGATTTCTCTAGTGATCAACTTGAGCATGGGACTCCAGAGCTTCCTCGTCTCCGGGATTCAGACCTCCGAGTGATTCCGAGCGACGATCTCAGTCCCGATAACTCACCACAGGCGTTCCGCTCGAGCACGAGATCAGTGTCGGTCAGCTTCAACGATATGCCTACGGTGGCAGAGATATCGGAAGACTCGTCCAACCCCAGGACGCCATTGCAGTCGTCGTTCATGATTGACGAAGACACCTCGAGGGAGGTTGGCAGCCCGGGCAAGGCTAGTGTCTCGAGCGCGGACGACCAGCTCCAGCAACAGATTAGTGAGATCCTGGAGTCGGTGCCTGCTAAGATTAGGCTAGCCGCCGAGCCATCCACGATCAACCTCAACCCTCCCGACTTCAAAATGCCTACGCGCAAAGTGTCAAAGCCCGACCTCAACCCACGCAGCCACTCGAGCTTGTCCACTGTGTCGACCATGTCGTCCCGGGCTGGCACTCCCTCGTTCACGCTCGCACCAGCATACAACCGCAACAACCGTGCGCGTCACCAACGGGGCGGCAACCAAGAGATCAAGCTCTACCATCTTTCGAGGTCGAATGGGGAAGCGCCCATCAAGCTGTTTATCCGCTGTGTTGGCGAGCACGGCGAACGCGTCATGGTCCGGGTCGGAGGCGGTTGGGCAGATTTGGGCGAGTACCTGAAGGAATATGCGAGTCACCATGGGCGCCGTGGAGGTCAAAGCAAGGTGGAAATCAAGGATATACCCAATGGGCGCGCGAACTCAACACCACCCACGCGACCACAGTCGGCACAGGACTCGTACTCGCCGGTTACACCCCTCCACGTCCGCAAGGCAAGGAGAAGCGCGGCGGCCGAGGATGCCACAGCCCTGGCCCACTCTAAGCTCGCAGCTGTCACCCGACCAGACGGTTCGTCATCAGGGGGGTCCCCACAGTCCAGGTCGAGCTCACGGTTGAGTTGGGCTGAGGAGGACAGCTCTCTAGGAATGGCAGGGCCGAGGGCCAAGCAGATTGAAATGAGCGAGGAGAGCAAGGCGTGGGTGCAGAGCGTGAAGGAGAAGGTGCGCATCGCCAGTGGAGAAAGAAAGGTGTCGGATTCAGCAGCTGTTACAGCAGCTGCGTTGATGGATGGCAAGTTTGGCGAGATGGGCAAGGTTGGAGCCACCAAGCGGCTTTTCAGGAAGCAGTGATGGGCATCAGATTGCGGGAAGGCGGCCGGACGGCGTTTATTGCATTGCTTGCGGACAGAACAACCATGGATTGGCACCTACGGGAGAGAGAAATATCATAGGCTTATTTTTTTATTTTTTTTTTGTTGTGTTTTCTTGTTTTCGTTTTCCTTGCGTCGGCTTGCACATGGTCTCTTCAAAAATACCCACTTTCTTGGTTATGAGGGAGGAATGGGGACAGGGGCAAAAGGTAGGAAGCAGGGGAGGACATTTGAATAGGGTCACAGGTCATAGCCAGAGGCGTAAGAATGAGATTACCGTGCACCTCGAGATATTTGTGTTTCCTTGATGACTCTGCTTTGGAGAGTGGTGATGAGGGTAACTCGGGGGTTGCGTGGTCAGTATGTCACGGCTCTCAACGAAGAACCTCCACCAGGCGCCAGCTAGTCTTCAAGGTGATGGTCTCCACACAGAGAAAAGACGGAAGCCTTGTCACTCCGCCATGGTGTCTGGAGAACTGGAGTGGGTTTGGCGGACTAGAGTTCCACAAAAGTGGAAGGGATTGTAGTATAGTGGTTAGTATAACTCGTTGTGGCCGAGTTGACCCAGGTTCGATTCCTGGCAATCCCAGAGTTTTGTTGCTGTTGTTTTTTGCATCTTGTTACTTTGGCGGTTTTGTTTGAGTTTTTGGTGGCTGAGGTGCATGACCCCGCGATGGTGTTGACTGGGCTTGGCGGTGGTTTTCAGGGTTGGCAGCATGGCAGCTTACAGCAAAAGGGCGATATTTTTTGATGAAAAGTAATACCTCATTGCTGGCTACCTAAATAGGGTTACTTTTGCTCCTTTTTTCTTTGTTTTGTTCCAGGGGTGATTTTCAAAGTGTTGGGGTCGCTGCCTGCACTCGCACAAGCACAAGCAGGCACTGCTCACTCAGCTGATGAGGCCGCCGAGTGATGCATCATGCGCATAGCAGTCTCACCGCTTCGACTTTCCCATGTCCACGCCCCTTCCATCCAAGTCCCAACACAGCAAACCAAGAACGTTATGGACCCCGCCCGTCTCCCCGCCGAGCTTTTTGGGCTTATCATTCGTGATGCAGCTGTTAGCAGTCGGGATCTCTGCCGCTTTGTCCTGGTGTCCCGCCACTGGCACACCGCGCTTCACGGTCACATTTACTCGACATGGTCGTACGACGGGACAAAGCACTCGATTTCGTCGTTGTGGAAGTTTTCAAGGTCTGCTCTTTGCAATCAACGCATAGCAGAGAGCGTCGAGGAGTTGAGGATTCGGAATTGGCGGTTTGGCCTTGTTCACAAAGGCGGTTTGTTGGTTCTGCAGGATGAAGATCTCGATTTGATCCGCGGTGCTATTCATACTGCGGGGCTTGGGCGGATTGAAGGTGAGATCTTCGAGGCTCTGAAGAAGGCGGATCCAAGGCCGTTGATGGCGTTGTTGCTGGTTACGCTGCGGAATTTGGCAAAGCTGGACGCCCATGTTGCGGAGACGGACATCTTTTTGGCCGAAGTGCTGCGACAAGCAGTTGGGGAAGCCGGTTCGGGGGATGAACGTCCTTTGAGAAGACTTGAAGAGGTCACTCTAGCGAGCGGGTGGAACTACCGGGAATACGACACGATCGGAGACATATACAATATTGGACACTGCGCATACACGCTCCGACTGGACGGGTTGTGGCCTCTGTTTCGGCTACCGAGCATTTCGACGCTTTCGTTATCTGACCTCGTTCCGGATGGCGCAGCTGAACGGCTTGGAAACAGTCCCAGATCGTCCAACATTACGGATTTGACGCTAGTTTTCCACGTCGCGTATCGACTTGACCCTCACGACGTGCGTGCGCTGCTCGCACTCCCGAAACGATTGACTGCTTTATCGACGTACTCGAGAGATGACAGTTCGCTTCCGGATGCTGCAGGCAGCAAGCAAACATCCAACCTGGACTTGTGGGATATGATCCGGCAACACGATCAGTCTCTCGAGCGGTTGGATCTCTACCGAGGAACCATGTGGAGATCGCCACAAGACCGCAATCCCCATCACTTGCACCTGGGCACCCTGCAGGGCTTCAAAGCCCTCCAGCATCTTTCTGTCCAGACATCAACCCTTCTTGGATGTTGCCGGGACCACATTGCGCCATTCTTGCTCAAAGACACACTGCCTCACAGCCTCAAGTCCCTCACACTCTACAGCGAAGAGGAAATGCAGCGAAGGGATATCGTCAGTCTTCTCCGCGACGTCTTTGACGATGATAGCTTCCCACTATTGACGCGCGTTGCTCTTGAAGAGCCGTTTTTCGCGTTCAAATACTCTGACAAGATCCGCCCCCACGACGAAGTCAAACAGCTATGCGAAGAACGGGGCAGAAAGTACGAGACCAAGAAGGCATCGTACGAAGCTGGCAGGTCACCTCACGCCACAAAGGGTGGCCTTGAAAGCCAACGTTATAATGATCTCGTCAAGATACCACGCGAGACGACGTGCTACAAGATGGCGGCTGTGCGGTTTGCCTTGCAGCGGTATCTTTTCTGGCTGCGAACGACCAGCAAGGCGGATGGGAGTGACAAGGAAAAGACCAAGTTTTCTGTGGAGGACCTTGACACGTTTGAGTTGCCCTGGGTTGGATTGACCCATCGCGCCCCGTTCCACACCCTGAGGCAGCATTTCCCGTATTTGACCGATGAGTATGCGGAGGACAAGTTGTTTCCGAATACGCCGTTCAAGGTTGTTAGGAAGGACCCTGAGGATGCGTATGATAGTGAGCCGGACTTTACGATGCCTACTGCGTGGTTTCGGACGGTGTCTGACTTTGAGAGCTCCGATTCTGACGAAGACGAGGATGCGGAGAAGGAGGATTGACGGTGTCGGTTGTGGTGGAGGACGAAAGGTGTTCTATCTGGTTTCTTCAGGGGCTTGTGCCTGACGTAGCGATGTCGTTTGTCGCTGTCAGTCCGAAAGGGAAATGCTGCTGTTCTTGTCAAGACTGCCAATTTGGAGGTATTAATAGGCTCCCATCGCCAGAAATACCAATTCAGTACAGTTACTGCATTTGTATTACCACACTGACGTTTCACTGGAACAAGACTCGCGCACATGTTCGAAAGCAAAGGAAACAAAACAGTGTGCCTCGGAATCCTTGACGGGCGGAAATGCGAGGTAACTGGCATATTTCCGTCGCACCTTGCACCCAACACGCATTCGCATTGGTTCGAAAAGTCTGCCTGGTTGCACGCTGCAGGGTGTCTCATCCCTGTCTGCATTCGTTTTGAGCAGGAACGGAGAGTGCCGAGACATGTGCTGTCCGGATCCGGGACGATCTTCCTCGCTTCGTCGTTTCCGATGCGACGTCCCCACGTCCTCTTTGCAACGACATCAATTCAGTCATCGTTGCGGAACATTGTGTCGACTCAGTTCTCACCACACGACACGACGGGCTATCATGGTGTTTTCATTTCCTTATTCCATCGGGCTGTTGGTAAGCCATCCCAGGCGGTCAACCATGATCCCTGTTGACAATCATCCCGCAGGTAGCAGCGCTGGCGTACCTGGTGACAAAGGTCATCTCATACCGCCGCCATCCTCTCTCCAAATTCCCCGGCCCGTTTCTCTGCGCCATCACCAATGTTTGTAAACTCCATCCCTTGGTAGTGTCACGTCATTGCCCCCCTTTTCTAACACCGGTATAATTGCGTAGCTCCCCTACAGCTACCACATCTTCGCGGGCGACCACCCAAAATGGGTTGCCTCTCTGCACGAGAAATACGGTACTTCCATCCATTCCCTTCCTTTCCCTTTCATTCCCATGATACACATCCCTAAACACACCCACCAAACAGGCCCCGTCGTCCGCCTCGCCCCCTCCGAACTCTCCTTCACAACCCCGACCTCATGGCGCGACATCTACGGCTTCCGCAAGGACCACGGCGTCTTTATCAAATCGGCCGCCTACGACGCAGCCGCCTTTACCGACCAAGCGCGCTCCATCGTCAACGAGCGGGACCCAGCTGAACACGCCAAAATGCGCAAGATGCTCGCGCCTGCCTTTTCGGACCGTTCGTTGCGGTTACAGTGGCCGCTGATTAACCAGATTGTGAACGATTTCATCGCTGAGCTGGCAAAAAAGGCTACCAGCAAACAAGAGGTTGACATGACGCTGTATCTGAGTCTTGTGTCGTTTGATATCGCCACCAGTCTGGCACTCGGCGAGTCGTTTGGGTCTGTCGCGGCGGGAAGGATTCACCCCTGGGCGACCTTTTTCCGGAACGGAGCGCAGGCTATGGGTGAAGGTGTGGCGGTGATGCGGTTCCCGTGGTTGGGGAAGCTGTTGCTTGCGCTCAAGCCGCCGCAGATGGTGGCCATGATCAAGGAGTTGGGGATGCATGAGGCGATGTGTATTGAGATGGTTAAGAAGTGAGTTCCTTTCACAAAGTAGTTGTGATTTTAATGCCTGCTGACAAGGTTAGACGATTGGACAGCCCATCCGATCGACCAGATATTTTAGGGCTTATCCTCCAAGCCGGCGAAAAGGAAGGGAACAGTTTCACCACCGAGTCCATCGCCGCGCAGCTTTCCGATGTCGTCATTGCTGGCACCGAGACGTCCATCACGGCTCTCACCACCGCTAACCACTTTGTCATGCGCGATCCGGCTGTCATGAGGAAACTACGGGCTGAAATCCGTGGGCGCTTCAAGAGCTATGAGGAGATATCGTGCAGTTCGACCGCTGATCTGGAGTATCTGAACGCGGTCCTCAACGAAGCCATGAGACTGCTGGCACCAGTGGCGTGGCTTCCGTCCAGAGTCGTGCCGCCTGGCGGCGATACGGTGGACGGCTACCACTTACCTGCTGGTGTACGCTTTCTTTTCCCCTAATACTCCTCCGAGCTAACGTGGGCTAGACATGGGTGGCGACAAGCTACTACGCGGCAGCCACATATTCGGCCAATTTTAAAGATGCAGCCGAGTTTCGACCGGAGCGGTGGATCGGACAGAGCGGTGATGCCTTGGAAGCCAGTCAGCCGTTTGGCGTGGGCACTAGGGCGTGCATTGGAAAAGGGTAAGTTTCCATACTTTGTTTCTTCATTCCATGTTGTCGTCATTGTGAGTAGGCTGATGACGATTAGGGTGGCCTTGACAAAACTCCGGCTCATCATGGCAAAGTTGCATTACAAGTTCGATATGGAGGCTGTTGAGAAGGACCTGGATTGGATTGACAAGGCCAAGTTTCGGTTGTTGTGGGCCAAGCCACCGTTGGTTGTCAAGCTGACCGAGAGGACGTAAACGACAAGGGCCTTTTCAGGAGATCGAAAGGCTTATTGGCGCCCTTTTTGCTGAGCCATAGCTGGAATCTGCTTTTAAGACCCGAGTGTTACTGAAAGAGTTTGCTGTATATCTGGATAGGTATGCATAATCTGCGCGGTGTATGTTGGGAGTGCAGATGTGATGCATTTGATTCTGTAACCATTTTCAAATCTAGCGCCCGTGTAGAGAGCTATTCGGGTTATCGCATCAACTCTCTGTTCGACAGGATACATCGGATCCCCCAAGCACCGGTTGTGAATGAAAAAGCAAGAAATAAAAGACTGCAAAACATTCCCCAACCGGAAGTATTGTACGAA